CCCCCCCCCCCCCCCCATTGCTTGGCCTGCTGCACGGTTGTGTTGGGGGTGGGGGTGGGGGCAGGTTTGGAGGAACAAATATACAATGACCCTCCAACAATTAAATTCTAGATATGGAAAATTATAACAAATGTATACATTTTCTGTTTCTAGAGTCTTTCTTTATTATTGGGGAGAGGCGTATTAAATTCAGGGTCATCCTGGATTTAGGTAAATAAGTACATTTCCCAAGAAATAAGAGGAAGCATTTCCCAAGAAAAATTTCACAGCTCAACAGGTTACACTGACACCTCTTTGTTAGAGAAAATTCCTCCAGAGAAAAATCTAATTAGATTGTACCCTTTGATTGGATTCAAATCACAGGGGTCCTTGTGGGCCAGATCCAGACCTGCTTCAGGTGGCGGGGGGTGGTAGCAGGGAGCCGTTAACACAGCTGTCACTTGATGTGTGTCCCCAGTGGGGTGCCGTACCCCAAATTTCAATGGTGGTTTTTGCCCCCTAACTCATGGCCCTGTGTGCCAGATGATGACTCTATGGGCTGGATCTGGCATGAAGGCTATATATTTGACACTGAGAAATACCAGTACATGTTTATGTAAGTAACTGTGGGTGCATCTATGTGAGATGCTACTGCACACCGATTATTGTGCATTTATTTAGTACTCTATTTTACAAGTACTAAATATATGCAGTAATTGGCTAATGCCTTTTTAGTGATGCTACTGCTCAGTAGCCTAATAATATTACTCAGTAGCATATTAGTACTGTCCGTGCTGTGATGCACTACTGCACAGTATTATTTAAGTATTGTGCAATTAGCATCTTGTGTAGACGTGTCCTTTGGGTACAAACAAATGGCTTATCCTGTGGGTTAAAAACCTGAAAGAATGTTGAATCCTAAGTCATGTTAAATAAGTTGATTGATTATTCAATCTTCTAATTCATTCTGGAAGAATGACACAGAACCTTCCTAGGTGTTATAATTTACTGCTAGTTTTGGCATCAATTAAGCTAAAATCTGCTAAAATCACTGTTGTTTTAACTTGTAGAATGCAATTTGGGAATGTGGGTAATATATATGTAGGGAAACTTTGATCCCTCTGTAAATTTAACTTGTGCATTGCTTGAGGCAAGGGGCACCTATACATGTGCTCTAGGATGGGGTGGGGGTGTTTTTAATTGGAGTGGCTCATGGGAGCCAATATAATTAAAACACCTTCAGTGTCTTGTGTGTTCAGTATCCCGCATTTCAAAATGGCAGGAGGGGCACTATATTTAAAGCTGTTCGACAAGCTTCAATTAAAGTGCCCCCACCACCATTTTAAAATGCAGTGGTGCTGGATGCACAAGACTGCAGTGTTTTGATTGCAATGCTCCAGCAGACTTGATTAATTGAGTCTGTTCCGATGAGTTCTAATCAGAACGCGTAGGAGCATGTGTAAAAGTGCCCATGGATTCCCATTCATTGGTGCTGGTGGAAATTCTGTGCGCAAAGAGGTTAAATTAAGGTTGCGTGAGCAACTGTAAATTGGCATTTTTTAATTTTACAATGCTTGACTTGAAGAGAAGTCATGATTTGAAGAAGATCAAAAATCAAGTCTACTCCGGACATAAAATCCAGAGTTCTTGTCTCCCAATTCTGTGCTTATGCCACCCAACCATTCTCCCTTCTGCAAATTGTTCTTTAAAAATATTAGCAATAATTGACCTTGAAATATAACCCCTCCCCTAAAACCCAAAGTCCTGAAATAATAGATCCTGTGTATGTAGTAAAAAATGTGGGATTTTGGCATTATTTCACTTTTAGCAGTTGTATATTCTCAGATTCCTGTGTAGCTAATTTCAATAACTAGTTCTCAAAGCCCTAGACTATAAAAGTCCTCTGCAATTACTGCCCATACTGTATCCTACCATTTAATTCCAATTCTTAGGTAACAGCAGCAGAAAGGGACCATTCCAAGTGAAGCTGCTGCAGTTCTAGTTATTTGAAGTGGTATAATAGCTGCAAAAATGTCTGAACTATGATCTGTTAAAAGGCTCTTCACTTTTTACAAAACAATTAGGCCTTGTATGGGTTTGTGGTGTTTCCTGTCAAGATAAGAAAAAATCTAGACTGAAAAAATTCTAACTGCAGTTTACTGAAATGCAAAAACAAAAGTTCTAAAATTTCATCTTAAATATAGTTGGAAACTTAGAAGCTGTCTGGCATGCTATGTTTTGTTAAATTTATTTTGATTGATATACGTTGCAAGTTCAAGAGTTGAATCCCCAGTTCTTAATGGACATAAATGAGTATCTACAAAAGGCAATGCCTCACTGTTTACAGTGAAATCAACATATGGCATGTTGGTGTGTAATTTCAAGACTCTCCTTGCATTATGGTTTGTTGGCTTAAGAATTGGAAAGTTAACAAAAAGCTTTTCATGCAGTATGCAAAATATCAAATTGCTGGGTGAGTGAATATTTAAACAGGATTAGCCAAATTGATTTTTCTCCCGCATCACTCTATTTTACCCTTTAGCTTTTATTATGTTTCAGACATCAAAGTCACTTAAGAAAGGGGGTGGGACAGGTGGATGTGCTCATTTTAACAGTAATACTTCTACTTCAAATGGAGGCAGTACTTAGCCAATCTATTTTTATACTGCAATGTCTTCAGGCTTTTGAAGCATCTCACACACAAACTATATTTCACTGTAGGACTCAAGGGCATTTGAGGAATATGCGCAGTCTGTTACTTTTCAACATCAAATAGATTAGTTTAGGAATGGAAATCCAAAAGAGTCATTTCAATTGGAGATACTATAATTGCTATAGTCTTTCTTTTTTAAAAAAAAAAAAATCCAACAGTAAGAGCCCTTGCCCGTAAGCAGGTTTAGTGTTTATAATAAGGGTGGAGACTATATATATATATATATATATATATATAATCTTAATCTTCTACAATAAGATTACTTTCACAGTTCCGAAATGCAAGTGCTGACGACAGTGCTTTCTTAACTTGTTATAGGATTCTTTTTGTTTCAGCATT